GGTGATCTCCCTTGATCAAACCTGCTTTATCTTAACTCAGAATGAATCCACAACCTCTCATTTCCTGTGAAAACAAAAGTGAAACCTCTACTCCAAAGTAACATACCTTTTGACTTCAATTTTGAAGTCAAGTGAATTTCAAAATACCTGTCTTGGATTAATTCAGCAGCATTTATAAGCAAATTTTAGCAACTGTTGTTCCTTCCTCAGTGACAGAAATGGGGTCCTGTTTCAGTGTCTGCCTTAGTATTTGTCAAAGACTTGCAAATATGAGTTGTTCAACAAAGTAAATATAATTAAATCAATTCCATACATGGAACCAGAAACTCAGAATCCAAGGGTAGAGAAGAGCAACCCACAGCCGCGTATGCCTCCATGTGACAAAGAGTCACCGGGAGGGTTGCACTGCTTGCGTTCTGACTTGAACTGCTTAAGTGCTGGTGCACTGCAAGTGGGATTTAAAAACCACTTAGAAAAGAGCAAATCAGTGGGCAGAGACTGTCTGGGCCCATGGAGCACAGGAGGCATGGAGTTTAAATCCATGTTGGGAGGCAAACGATAGGGCGCGTGGGGACTTGAAGCCAATCTGAGGCATGTAAAGAGAAAATATAAAGAATTGTGGCAAGAAAAGCTACTGCATGAGATTCTATATTGAACTGCTGGCTCCATGCACAGGCCGCCACTGAGAGAGGGCTCGTGCCAAGGCAAGCTGGCAGCAGGCAGCTGAGGGGGTGGTTCTAAAACCAAACATTGGGTGCCAGATGAAGGCGTAAGTCACAAAACAATCCCACACCCGTTTGGAATTATGATTAATAAAAAGATTATTTATTTAAAGGGAAAACTTACAGATCACTATCCTAGTCAACATCCCTCTGAATGACCAGGAAAGGAGTCTAGTAGTCGGAAGCAGAGTCTGAAGAAAGAGAGAGAGAGAGAGAGAGAGAGAGAGAGAGAGAGATTGAGAGAGAACAGTGCTACCACTGCTTTTTAAAGAGAAAGAGACCACACCCAAGTGGGCTGGTATCTTAAAGGCTATTGGACGAAGAAGTGGAAGGAGCTCCTGCAGCACACAATTCACTCCAATGATCATTTAATTCCTGATTTTAGAAAATACATGGATACTAGCAGCAGGAAATGTCTGTAACACAGAATGATCTTTACTTGGAAATGTGTTTCATTTACTAAAAGAAGCAAACTTTTACCATTCACATTTTCAGAAATAGGACTTCTTTATATGATGTAGTATAATCTGAAATTTTTCTTGCTTGAAGTTTGAGTTAAAGACTGTTGAGAATCATTCTTTATTTACTACCACCCATGAACATGAAGAGAAAAGGAAACAATTCATATTAACATAATAGAAATAATAAAAGCTTATCATAAATGCTGGCAACATCCAAGCTCCCAGCCCCTAAACAAGTACATCTTGCTGTTGATCAAGGCATCTCCACAAATTTCCTTGTGATGGTACACAGGAGATGTTGATAGAATGATACTAAGCTCCATAGTGAGATCCTACTCAAGAAATAAAGCAATCTTCAAAAGACAGGGCCCACCATTTCCCATTGTCTTCATCTTTCCCTAGAGAGTTCTACATACAGTGTGCAGTCTTTGTATTTTTGAGGCTACAGGAGGCTATATGCTGTCTCAATTCATTTTTTTTTTACTTGCCTCCTCCTTCTCTTTTAAGGTATCATCCTTGAAATGTTTAATTCACCTAACAAATAATCTGAATCCCACCTTTGAGGGCCTATCTTTACCTCTGATCTCATCTGTCTCTTCTCCAATCAATCCAAGGGTCATTGCTAGGCTCTCAGATAGTTTAACAATGATTCTTGTATGTTCATCTCAGTTTCCTTCAACGGCATTTCACAAACATTCCTTTCTAATAAAAACAAGTCTGCCAATTTTAAAACAGAAACAACTTTGTTAATGCGCATGAACTCTGTTGATGCCTTTGGCTGCCCTCCAGAGGAGTAATTTTATCATCACTTAATTTGTCTATGGCTTCTGCAAGTCAGCACCCTCTCCCCAATCTAACATAAAGGATCAGATTACCCTTGTCATTAAAAACAAACTAAAACATTTTCTGTGTACGACAAAAAACAATCCAAATATGTAAGAGATGCCCATATAAATATGGGCAATAAATATGCCCAAGAAAATAAATGTCTTAGAATATTTTATGCTGTCTTCCATGTTATTTCTATAATGGTGTCCTTGTCCATATCCAATCCATATATCTATCTTTAAAATTTTAATGGGATATTTTTATTTATAGTATGTTGTCTTTGAACACAATTGCATTATACACAATAGCTTTTCCATGGTTGATTATGCTGTTCTAAATCATTATTTTTATTTCTTCCTTAATTTTAGCTTCAACTTATTGTTTTTTAGGAAGGGATTTCTTTTAATGAATGTAAATATTTTTGAAAACACATATTTATTTAATATCCACCTCCTGAAAATTAAATGGTTAAACTCTATTTTTAAATTTAATACATTTATTTTTTGTTTCAGTGTTTTGCCCGATTTGATAATTACCCTTTCCATATATTTAAGAAATTTCATACAAGTCAAGAAATACAGACTTAATATCCTCTTACAATTTACTGAAACGTAAATGTTTCTTTAACAAATGTTAGAGGAAAAAACCAAACTTCACAGCACTGGGTTAAGAATTTACCAGACTTTTATCATTTTCAACTAAAATCACAATTGACGACAATGTCTTCCCTATATATTTTATATTGAAAATAGAAGTCTATATGCTATTGTAAGAAGCCATAGTCTCCCAATTACTGCAAACATTAGCATAAGGTTATAAATATAGATTCCTTACCTGAAATTATTCATCTTTTCAAACTTTAAACTTTGTCATTTTGCATACTTCCAAACTTCATAATTTGAAATTAAAAAAAATATTTCCAAACAAGTCTACAGTTATATAAAGTTACATTCCAACGATCATGGTTTCTTATTAGGTAGGAGTACTGGCTGGACACAAATACACAGTCACAGGTGCCATTGTGTACCAAGTTTTTTTATTAGTACAGTGAAGATTTCCAACAGGTCACATGGTAAGATAGCCTTTTATTTGTATTGTATTAATATTATCAATTCTTCTGACTTATATAAGACAGGAAATTTCTCCCAGCTCTCTCCCACGAAACACCATTTTTTGTCTCAATTTTATATCTCTGGGTCAAGCTCAAAGGATCTCCCTACTTGAAGAGAATCCTGCATTCTTTTCATTTTCCCCTTATCTCTCAGGGTCACAGCTCTGCCAGATACTAGACAACAGCAGTTTGAATTCTGTTTTTTTGTCTTAGGCGAAATGTTTCAGTTGCATGTGATTTACAGTCAAGATATTTGTTTAGCTCAAGCTATCTCTTAATTTACTAACAAACAGAATAACCCATTTTAAATATTTAATTCAAAGCTTATCTACCCTATTTATGATAAACTCAATGTTGACTTGATAGCCCCAAGTTAAGAGGATGAAAATCACCTGGGGGATTGATAGTATGCAAGCACGGAGACTAACCTTAGCAAATTTCCTAGAACCCACATACAAAGGTCAGGTGCATTTACATGGGCTTGAAATTTCAGAGCTCTGAAGGTGGGCACAAGTGGATCTCTGAAACTTGCTAGCCATTCACTCTTGCTAAATGGATCAGCTCAAGCTCTTTGTGTAAACAAACAAACAAATCAAAA